TGGTGCATACCAGTGATGGCGAACCTTTTAGAAACTGAGTGCCCATAAACTGGCCCTGCCCCCACTCCACCCCCTGCCCTGCCCCTGCTCTGTCCCCACTCCACCTACCCGCAGGGCCACTCATGGCCTCCAGGGCCCGCCACAGATTGCCCAGGCAGCCCAGCAGCGCCATGGTGGCAACGCCCTCTGCCCGCGCCCCGCAGCATCAACTGTGCGTGATGGGGCGTGAGGGCAGAATCTTGTCTACGTTGCCTGGCTGCCATGTCCTTGGCTGCACTGCTCCATGTGGGTCACGCTCGGGGGTGACTCTCCTCCAGGGGGGCTGCTGGTGAGGAGGGGGTCATGGGGGGAGGCAAGGCTGGGCAGCACGTGTGCCCACAGAGAGGGCTCCAAGTGCTGCCTCTGGCACGCGTGCCATAGGTTCGCCACCACTGGTGTATACCTATTTACATTTGATGTCTAATTTCTGATTGACCTCATGCGGGCAGGACAGGGATAGCCAAAGAGCTGTATGTGACCAGGGGCCATAAAATACCCAGGTCTGACTTACAGGAAACCTTAAATAACAGGTGGACTTGCTTGCAGACTGAATTGATATAGAAAACTCACTGCTTCATTCTCTCACTCTCTATTTTTAGTATTAAACTAAAGTTTGGTATAAGATAAAAAATAAACAGAAACAAAAATTGAGAAAGGGATAAAGAATAAAAGTGCAAAAGGAAGAAAAAAAGGAAGAAAAAATAATTTCACCCTACATGCAGTGGTGGGATTTCAAATATGTAAATAGCCGGTTCTCTGTGTGGATGCCACTTCCGGAAGTCCATTCTGGGCCTGGGCAACAAAAAATTAGCTACCGGTTCTGCCGAACTGGTGCAAACCAGCTGAATCCCACCACAAGAAGGAAGGAAGGAAGGAAGGAAGGAAGGAAGGAAGGAAGGAAGGAAGGAAGGAGTGGTGGGATTCAAATATGTGAATAACCGGTTCTCTGTGTGGATGGCACTTTCGGAAGTCCATTCTGGGCCTGGGCCACAAAAAATTAGCTACTGGTTCTGCCGAAGTGGCGCCAACTGGCTGAATCCTACCACTGTCTACAAGAAGCAGTAGATCAGTGTTTCTCAACCTTGACAATTTTAAGGCAGTGGACTTCAACTCCCAGAATTCCACAGCCAGCAATGCTAGCTGTGGAATTCTGGGAGTTGACGTTCACATGCCTTAAAGTTGTCAAGGTTGAGAAACACTGCAGTAGATGGAAATTAATCAAGGAGAGAACCAACCTAGAACTAAGGAGAAATTTCCTGACAGAAGAATTAACCGGCGACTTGCCTTCGGAAGATGTGGGTACTCTGGAATAGTATAAGATCTCCTGCTTGAGCAGCGGGTTGATCTAGAAGACCTCTAAGGCCCCTTCCACCTCTGTAATTCTGTTACTCTGTTTATGATTCACAAGGTGGACAACGAGCCTTTGAACTAGCAGCTTCGCTGAAATTCCCTTGCAAACCCTCAGCAAAGCTTGTGGTCAAACTCTGTCAAAATAGGGGGTGTTTTAGTACTATCTTTCCCCACTCCTGTTTTCAATATGGTGTCACACATTAGCATTTTATGTTGCCAGATGTTTCATTGTACTTCCATTTGAAACGGCAAATGGATGAAACATTTGATTAAACAGCAAATGGATTTGAGCCTGCCTCCAGCGTGTTCCGATGCCATCACTGCTCACAACTGAGGCTCACAAAGCAGTGTACACACTTAGACTTGAAACAATAACACAGCCAAACTGGTTGTACTATTGTGTTGTAAGCTCTCCCATTCCTTCTTGGCTTTGAAAGCTGCTCGCTGCAAATTGTCGTCTGTTAATTTAATATAATAGTTTGGTTTTAATATGAGGAACCGTACGACAATGCTGTGTTTTGGCGTTCGATTTTAATTAAATGCATACTTCCAGATTTGATTACTCATAGCCCCTCTTTCGTTAATTTACTCATTTGCAGTTTGGACAGAAATGCTTCCGATTTAATGCAGAGTGATGGGGGACTGTGTCTAACCAATTACAGACCGGGGGAAGGAAATAACTTTATTGCAAGAATGTTGCTTGGTTTTGATGTTCTCCTGGAGTGCAGAAGGTGCGCTGGTCATGTCAAAGCATCCTCTAGAGTAGTTTTCTGGTGTCATTGTTTTTGGGTGCTGTCTTTGCATACTGACCAAACTATCCCTATAAGGGTGGTGCAGCTGTGTTGAACACTTGTAAAAAAGATGTTGAGACTCTAGAAAGAGTACAGAGAAGAGCAACAAAGATGATCAGGGGACTGGAGGCTAAAACATATGAGGAACGGTTGCTGGAATTGGGTATGTCTAGTTTAATGAAGAGAAGGACGAGGGGGGACATGATAGCAGTGTTCCAATATCTCAGGGGCTGCCCCAAAGAAGAGGGAGTCAAGCTATTTTCCAAAGCGCCTGAAGGCAGGACAAGAAGCAACGGGTGGAAACTAATCAAGGAGAGAAGCAACCTAGAACTAAGGAGAAACTTCCTGACAGTTAGAACAATTAACCAGTGGAACAACCTGCCTCCAGAAGCGGTGAATGCTCCAACACTGGAAGTTTTTAAGAAGAGACTGGACNGCTGGTGATAAATCAGCACTCCTGTTGAGGGGCCTGTTTACCAGGCTTCAATCACTTCCCTGGCTGTTTTTGTGCCTGCTCATCCAACAATCTTAGTAGCTGCAAAATTGAACTTGTGTCCTTGTTCATTGCAGTGTAAGGCTACCAGTGAGTTCGGGTCTCCTCATCTGACCACTCGCTTGTGTTCTTACGATTGTATTTTATGATTTAAGATAATATCACTTTGCTGTTTGTATGTACACCAAGATTTGATGCATCAGAGATAAATTCCTTATGTGTCCAATTACACTTGGCCAATAAAGAATATTCTGAAGCTCCCATCCTCAACTGTGATTCATGGGCACCAACACAGTCGCAAAAACAGCCTTTAGCATTGATCTGGCTCCCTAACCTTTTTTTTAAAGCGGGAGTCGGCATACCGTGGCAGTCTCCGGAGCCATTTTTATTTGCCAGAATGGTTTGTGGCCTTGATAGACTCTAAGGACACCAGTAGGAACTGGTACTGATAGAACAGAATATATGTAGCTCAAGATTGAACTGTGGGGGTCCTTGGTGTTCTATGAGCTTGGTTGCTTTCTTGCGGACGTTTCACTACCCAACTAGGTAACATCATCAGTGCTAGGCTGGTAGGTACATGCAAGTCATTTGAGAGTCAGTTTGGGTGGTAGTGGTACAAGGGATCAGGCTAGAAACTGCCTTAAGTTTGAAACCAGGTGGGTGACTTTAGGCCAGTCCCCTTCTCTTAGCCCTAGGAATGTGACAGCAAGGGGAAACCACTGCATGGATTTGTTTACTCAGAGACAGAGATAATTTACACCACTCTTCTACGTGGCCAGTGGCCTACAAACAACAGAGTTAAATGGTAAATGCTAGAGTTTCCAAAAAGCTAGAGGGAATGTTTCAAAGCAGCTAAGGAGAGGTTAGAATGGATGCTCAGCGTGAAAAACCATGCTTTCTCTATGCTTTGTCTTTTTTGAAGCCTGTGTTTTTGTAATTAGAGTGAACAAATATGTCATCTAGGATCATCTCTGCCTGTAGGGTAGATAGACAGTTGAAAAAATCACCCTGGACAAAGTTAATAGTAAACCATTTTTGTACAGCTGCCCCCCAAAACCTGCACAGTTATGTCCTAACTAGGAAACCAAAAGGATCGTCACTTTTCTGTTCTTCTTCCATTCTACTGATGCTGGAACAGCCTTGGCATCTAATGTTGATAGAGACCGTAAGGCAAGATCTTCATAGTAGCTATTTAAAAATAGCCGTCTGTGGGAAAACATTAATTTGGTCTACCTTCCAGTGGGAGAATATATAATTTATCAGTTGTTCAAAGACTGTTTTTAAACAAATTCCATCAGTTCTAGGTAGCATCTGCCATGTCTTTAATATCCATCTGTTCAACCCTTAATATCATTAATAATCCATCCATTAAGTTACTTGCTCCATACATTGGTTTGGAATAATCTTATTAATGCACAATTATCTAACTGATATTAGTTTTAACTTCCACTAATTGTTTTGAGCAATTAATAATGGATAGCCTCTATTAATCTGCAGATTCTCTTTTCTTTACTGTTTTTTTGAAGACTCTTGGGAATAGTTCTTTGGGAAACATGCAGATTTTCACTCTGTATATGCCTCCAATACATAAGCTTAAAAGGTGTAACTTGGTCTTACAAAAAGGAGAAAGGAAGCAAAGTTTTCTGTTACGTAGCTGAGATTGTGGGATGGTCTCCCCGTTAGGAACTGAGGAGAAATGGTTCATGTTTTTTCACATTTTAAGAGAGAAGAACCAAACTAGCAGTTCCCAAAAGTATGATGAAGCAAGGTTCACAATCATGCCAACATTTACCCAAATGCATATTAAAAGTACACATACTATACAGAAAAAGACACACACCATCCCCTTAAATTAGGTAAAAATGTTTTGGGGAGAAAAAACTCTAGGAAACATATACACAGATACCTATATCTGTGAAGGGATCCTTTCTAGTTTCCTGGAGAATTTTCTATAACCATCCCAGCCAGTTTCTGACGACCAAAGTCAGTGGGGGGAATTTGGATTTGCTAAACGACAGCATGAATCACTTAACAATGATTTGCTTGTAAAGGTTGTAAAATTGGGCACAATTCCCTTAAACAACTGCCTTGCTCAGCAATGAAAATGTTGATCCCAATTGTGGTCGTAAGTTGAGGATTATCCAGAGTTTTATGGATGTTGAAATCTGGTCAAAACTGGTAGATTAGTAATGTTTGGAATCTAGTCTGATTTGTTAACGTAAGCTTAATTCTCTCTCTTTTTTCTCTCTTTTTCTCTTTCTCTTCCTTTCTCTCTCTTTCTCTCTCTTTTTTTCTCTTTCTCTTTCCCCTTCTCCCTCTGCAAACAGGCCTTACAGCCATGGCTGAAGCAATGAAGTTGCAGAAGATTAAGCTTATGGCCATGAATAGCCTCCATGGAAGCGGAAGTCAGAATGGAACCGAGTCGGAGAACGAAGAACTGAATTCGAATGCAGGTAAAGCCAAGTCTTCAGTTGTTGCATGTCTGTGGATATTCTCCATCATCCAGGCCATGGTTTCTCCTAAAGGTGCTTTTTCCAAAAGGCAACTGGACTTTATGAAGGGGTGCATTAGGTCCTAAAAGAGGTTTTATTTTCACTTCGCTACTATTTTGCATAAGGTGCTTCCTTTAGAACAGTCATTTTATTGGAAAACAAGAGAGCACATCACACCTAAAGCATCTGCAGGGATGCAGAGGGGAAGATGACTTTCCATTATTTCTTAATGCAACATGAATTATGTTATTTTTCCCCCCTCCTTTAAGAAACCATCTGTAATTGGCAGGAAAAGCCTGGATCCCAGCCGAGCCCCACTTGTTTTCTCTCTCTTCTTTTTTTTTGGCAGCAGTTTTGTTTTGCCTTTTTTCTTTTTTTCTTTTAAATGTTAATCGTGCCTTTTTGATTTTGGAAAATGGCAGTGTGAAGAAGGCTCAGTCAGAAGGAAAAAATGGGTAGGTAACCACATTCACCTTAGGCAAACTAATCTTCATTTACATGCCTGGAAGGACGATTCAGAGGGTTGAAAGCATTGGTCATCTCCAGGCCACTCCCTAAGAGCAGCATGGGTAAATTCTTAAGAGTGTGTGTGTGTGTGTGTGTGTGTGTGTGTGTGTGTGTGCGCGCGCACACACGTGCGCAACTACATCTTGCGATCTTCTGGAAGGTTTCATAGGCTGGTTGGTAACAGGGTGATATGCTTGACAAGGTCGAATAACAGAATAAAGGAGTTGGAAGGGACCTTGAAGGTCTTCTAGTCCAACCCCCTGCTCAGGCAGGAAACCCTATACCATTTCGGACAAATGGCTGTCCAGTCTCTTCTTAAAAACTTCCAGGGTTGGAGAATTCACAGCTTCTGGAGGCAGGTTGTTCCACTGGTTAATTGTTCTAATTGTCAGGAAGGTTCTCCTTAGTTCTAGGTTGCTTCTCTCCTTGATCAGTTTCCATCTGTTGCTTCTTGTCCTGCCCTCAGGTGCTTTGGAGAATAGCTTGACTCCTTCTTCTTTGGGGCAGCCCCTGAGATATTGGAAGACTGCTATCATGTCGTCCCTAGTCCTTCTCTTCACTAGACTAGACATACTCAATTCCTACGACCTAGGTTTTAAGACTTCAACCCCCTTTGTTGCTCTTCTCTGCACTCTTTCCAGAGTTGAGAAGCAGTAATTTGTGGGCATTGTTGTTTGTTTCTGGATTGGGGGATAAATAAGGATGACTGTGGGAGGAGAGGGCCTTTAAACCCCCCCAAAACAGCCAAGATATGATTGAGTACATAATGCTAGAGTGGGAGAATTTTCAGATGAGTTAGTGTGTGGTTCTCTGTTCTTCTTAAGACTTTTGTGAGTGCATGTTAGTAAGCAGTCCTATGGGGATTTCTGCAGGACCAGTTACACAAATGACTAAATATTAATACATTAAATCATTGTATTCCTCATACACTAAATAGGGGCGGGGCTATTCATGGCCATAATACTAAATATTCTGATATTGAGCCAGGGGTTAAGGCTAGAAACAAGGAGATTGTGAGTTTTATTTCCACCTGAGGAGCAAGGCTAGCTGGGTGACTTTGGGCCAGTCTCTCTCTCTCAGCCCTAGGAAGCAGGCAATGGCAAACTACCTCTGATGCAGGTAAGTTCTCAACTGACAACCATTTGTTTAGTGACCGTTCAAGATTACAACGGCACTGAAAAAAGTGACTTATGCCCATTTTTCACACTTAGGACCATGTGCAGCATCCCCCTGGTCCTGTGATCAAAATTCAGACGCTTGGCAACTGACTCATATTTATGACGGTTGCTGTATCCCAGGGTCATGTGATCCCCTTTTGCAACCTTCTGACAAGCAAAGTCAATGGGGGAGCCAGGCTCACTGTAACAACCGTTTTACTAACTTATCAACTGCAGTGATTCACTTTACGACCTTGACAAGAAAGGTCGTAAAATGGGGCAACGCTCACTTAACAACTGTGATGCTCAGCAAAGCAAATTTTGGGCTCATAGCGGTTGTAAGTCAAGGGCTACCTGAATCTGTATAGTAAACGTGAGTTGGTACACAAATTGTGACCCAAGATTTGTGAGGTGGTGTGTAACATAAAGTATTTGACCCGTACGTCTCCATCAGGGCTGAAAAATGAATAAAATGGCGAGATTAAGCCAAAAATAAAAGAAGATTGGGTTTTCAAAGTCACTTCTTCTGGAATCAGCAGGCGCAACGCTCGCGCGCTCGCACACACACACACGCACACAAACACACACAAAAGCAGTAAGCCACGTTCACCGAGGCAAACATTTTATTTTAAGGAGACAGACCTACAGTTTCTTTGATTCGGGGTTGCGTTTAATAGCTTCTCTAATGGTTGCAACATGACCGTGCATCTTGATTTCAGCATGAATAACAACCTGTTCGTGTTTCATTTAGTTCCAAATGAGAAATTTCTGTCTTTTTATTGTTTTAGGAAATTAGTCTGTGTACTATTGCTCCTGAAACTTTATAATTAATCACGAAAGGTTACGGCTTTTGAAGAGTTCCGGGAGGAAATAGGGCCGCTTGAATGGTTATGACTGTAGCTGTCAAATCAGAAATATGGGCTTTACAGCCTTCCAGTTTGTTTTGAACAGTATATCTTCCATTCTTTTGAAGATACACTGCTACACACACACAAACACACACATATA